TGCGATTACGATCGGGTGACGCAGATGTCGAACTCCATACCGCTTCCTGTTAGGACAGCTCCCAGAAAGCACCACAAAGCCTACGGAGACTCTAAAGGAACCTAAGAGACTCCATCGAATCGGAATCTGATAGAACTTTCTAGAATATCAACGTTCCATCTTATGACTGGACGATTGAGTAAACCTTCTATCTGCAGTTTGGCTGGATAATAATTATGTCACGGTTCATACCAAAACCATAAACACACCTGTTTTCCTGCACATTTTTGACACTTACTAAACGCTTCTCCCTTTCCATTAGCGACTGTAGGTTCTCTAAGTTGTAGTGCAGAAAACGTATATCATGATAGTCTTGATCAAGTAGCTTGTGCATATATGCAGCTTATGATCTGCTGAAGACGTTGATATCAGAACTAGAATTTTAAGTAAAATGTAACAATCCAACGTTTCGCCTGGCAATCTGGTCAGAGCTTCACACTGCCCAAACATTACACTGCAAGAAGTATTCCGTTAATTCCATATAACACTTTGAGGTCATTGAGCATATCTGTAAGCAATATTTACCGAACATAAATGATACTTCTGTGTGCTAATTTATCACCTCTGGATATGCTATGTCATTATAATAAATGAAACAGCCACTATCATTCAACTACTTACTCAGAGCGGATCTTGACTTGTGTAGAGGCTACTCTGAATGCCTAATCACAGTCCATGGGAATTCTTAACTAATAACTGAGTCTGTGGAAGTTACACTGGTTCATAGCATGAGCCTGTAGCGATTCCTCCATGAGGACTCAGCATTACCAGCATATGTGTCAGTCGATTTGCCAGGCTCCCCAGGTCAGTGCACTCCATCCCATCCGCACAAACCGAGTTACCCATGACAACATTGGAAGCGTATGATATAGTGGCACAGTATTAAATCTTAGTGTTATAAATCTCACGCCTCAAAAGACATTAGACTCTGTGTAATAAAATCCAGGTTTACGATACAACTTAACGAATACCTAATTCTTGCCCACTCTTTGGTTAACTATTGAGCAAATTAGAAGAGGGAAGCTTAACAAGGACAGAGGAAGCACACAAGTTATGGCCGGTTTATATGCTCTTCGCAGTAGCAGATGTCGTGGAAATAGTTGTTAGTGATTCTATTCTTAAATATCTTGACAACAAGTCCAGTTTATCTATTCTGGTTCGTCCGTTGACACAAAACTATCAGGTTCCTGAGATAACAAACTCATCTTACTGGAACACAACTATCCGGTGCATAACAAATTATCAGAATTTTTCAGGGCATTCAACAGAGCTGACTAATGAATTCGCTGGCTTCGAATAGGTTCCCAGTGACGAAGCTCTAACATTACATTTACGAAAGGTTACAATACGTCAAAGTTTGCACTATGTTTTCAGATTAGTTCTCCATGACAAGTCGAGTGCCACAGGACTCGATCCTTGTACTGCTCAAAGTAATCAGAAAAGAGTCTAACATTGGTAGAGGAAGAGGAATATAGTCTCCGACCAACAAATATTGGTGGTGAGAGGGATGTGTGACAGAACAACCTACTTATCTCAGGCTCTGTATGACCTGAGATAATGGGAGCATTCAGCCAAGTCGAAGTTGCCAAACTGAGCTTGCCACTCCTATTTTCGGTTCTACGCCGCCTTCATGACACTTGAAAGATGACCTGTGACATACAGACACAGGCTCTTGTGATTTGATTGAAGGAATTATTTTAATGTAAAAACGACAGCAAACAAATAGAGATGAATAATAAAAATGATTAGGTTATTAGCGCTTCTGAACATTTTACGTTATCTTGTTGCATTATCTACTTGAGCAAATTGCCTTCGAGCGTCTTGCTATTGATCTTCACAAACACTTCAGTCAGTCCATCATGTTACATCTTACAGCTTACAGAATTTTTATTGAAATTCCCTAAAACTGAGTCCCTGATGATTACACTACTTATTCGAAATAAGGATATCAAACACTTAAATAGCATTCACCAACAATGCTGATGTGGAGGATGTTCTGCTGGCCAATCACTTGCCGAAGTCAAAAGGGGATGTAAGAATAGTGCGTGATATACCATATATTCCTGAGACATTTCATGATACATGCTTTCATGAAACAAATATGATTGTGCAAGGAGTTCTAAGAAACATATACCCTGATTATCCATCCTTTGGTATTCTGGAGTTGAGGTTCGTAAGGCAGCCGTTGAAGCTGAAGAACATATTAACCCGACGAGCAAAGGTTCTAGACCACGAATAATGAAGATAACCTTCCTATACTCCGAAATATTGGCTCCCACTCTCAAAGCATTTCGTCCCAACAAACGTCATTTACCAACTGGAATCCACATGGATCCGAACAGGCATAACGACGCAACGATCAAGAACAAAAGTGAATCGGAACTGATTATCCCACTTGTTGGCTGTCAAGATGAAGGACTAAAACATAAAATGGACAGGGGCTACCATCATAAAAAACCCTATGTATGCATGTTGTCTGTTCGTTCACATAAGCCTCATGAAGATAAACAGGACGCGAATCTCACGTGTTTCAAGTTGAGAACATAAATTACTGATTTATGAACGCCGTAAGTTTACCGAATAGAATGGATAAGCTGAGCGACCTCAGTAATACTAAATACTCATCTGACAGGAATATCTAAAAGATGGATATCTTCTTAAGTTACGGACCAGGAGCTAGCAATACTCCAGATGTCTTTGTTTTTCAATGACAGAAAACACAGGAATAAGGGCGGAGTAGCCCTGTAGCTTCGATGTTGTCTGGCAACACGTCAAGTGTACATTGAATAGTTTATCAACTATGACAGACGCATATTCAGTGGAAGTGACAGCTCTACTGAGGCTCGGTTTTTCAACCTTATGGAGGGCCTGGGATTATTGAGGAATGTGGAGTTAGCAACTCGGTGGAGAAACATTCAACCACCGTTACGTTTAGGCTGTATATTCACAGGTGAAAAGTTCATAACTAACAACATCTCAACCATAGCTCTCCTAGGCAAAAATGATCGCACCATCATAGCTGTCAATTTTATCAACAAAACTGGCCTAAAACGTCTTATTAACAACAGGCGTTAGAATTTCAAACGTTTGGATATGTCAGCTATACAAGACGATCTAAAGAAGGCGGACTGAGAAGTGCACACTCGATTTGACTTGGTCACTCACTGAGATTTCTTACTGTACATGATCTCACAAATCAGTCTATTTCACGTACAGTTCACAATAGATACACGCAACTCGTAGTCATAAAGAATCACAGTCTTCGACTGCTAAGACTCCAAGGTTACTACTGGGTGGAATACAAATCAATAACTGGCGACAACATGTATGGGCAGTTTAACCAAGCATGGAACCAATGCACCAAGGCAATATGAGAAAGTAGCCTTTGGTATAAGATAAAGCTAAATGAAGTGGCCCAGAGACTGACATTGTAGTGGTATCGGTTCCTAACCACGAGATCCTTGAAGATGAGAGTACAATTACTGAGAAGATTTACATTCAACATGTTACATGAGAAGATAGTCAACAATGGTGAGTGCGGGAGGAAGAATCGAAATGCCATGGCTCGGTTATATAGACGTGGTCACCCTTTATAACTTCTTTCTTTTGTATAAAATGTGTTGTTCAAAAATACTAGACGTTATATTGCCGATAGTCACGGTCGAACGAGTCAGCGTAGACAGCGATGTGACTTCTACTTAGGATCTTATAGATTCGGTAGTCACATTATGACAAATCTACAATTTAGATAATAGGTTTACTATTACGGTAGCGAAGATAAATGTTCTAATGACGAACTAAACAATACTTCGACGTTGGTGAGTCCAATTTTGAACAGGAATTTAGTTTCCGTTTTGCTCATTATTTTTTTCTTTAGTCGTAAAAACTGACTTTACCGTAAATTTCGCATATATATATATATATATATATATATATTTGCACCAGTTTTTGATAACAAAGCATTAATGTTGTATACATTACTTTGTCTCATTCATTTTATACTGATATGTTGGTCGTAGGTCAAATATCGGACGCATTCTAAACCCAAAGCTCGGAAGACAAATGTCACTGATAGAGATAGACATTGTTATGACTAGGGAGACAGGACTCCCAGAATTTGACCCCGGGTTGTGTCTTATTAAACGATTGTACTATTATACGAGACACAATATTAAACTTCAGCAGATTTGTCGCCGAGATCTACGCTCTTTCTTCTTTTAAATGGCAGAGAAGTCTGCGACTCCAAAACCAGACACTATTTTTAGACGAGAGGTAATGAACTGTCTGTTAAAGAATCCAAAGGCTTTTCCAAAAAGAAACTCTAGACGATAGCGACGTTTCACGGGTCTTTTAAGAGGAAGTCGATTTCCGGAGTAGCAAAACTCCCATATGATGCTCGACTGGCTAAACTAAGAATATTTCCAGTTTCACATGACAGAACCAGATTCGACTTGATCACAGTTTTTAAATTAGTTAGTAACAAACTCACAGCTGATATGCTCGCCCTTTTCTCGTCTTCAAAAACAGGAAATTGATGGGAACACTCTCAAAACGTCCACAAACATATAACAGATTACCTGTCAGCTATCGTCTTTCCTATCGAATCATCAAGTAGTGGAATTCATTATTTCAAAACGTGGTTGAAGCTCCATCTGTCGACTCCTTCAAAAAAGTCTGGTCAAATGAGATAACATCTTTGCCATGACTAACAAAAGCCATATAGCCTCCTGTCCTTTCCAAATTGAAACTGGTTCCCAAGGAATCAGGATTGTACTTCACTATAATTTAGTGATATTCTTCTTTTAACCGTTAAATACACCTGGGTTAATACCTCCAGACACTGTTATTAGATCCGGAAGCCCGTTAAGTGGAAGTCTTTTTCTATTCCATCCAGAACTATTTGAGCTCCTTTAAACTGAAGTCCTTGAAACTATGTCTGATGTTGATGCGCTACTACCCTGATGACCTTGGTCCTCAAAACGGTCCGTCTTTTTCAACATATATCGTGCAACGTGCGTATGGCTAGTACATCTTTTATTAAAGAAGGCTGTGCGGAAGTCATGCTTCCAGATGGTGTGTTTTACAACCCCGTACAAGAATTTAACAGAGACCTTACAATAGCTGTAGTAAATCAGTTTGGAAAGTTGCACAGAAGAGAAGCTATTCTGAAAATGAAGGACAAAATGAATGGTATGATTCCTTTTGATGACTATTAAGTATCATTACGAAAGAAACTCCTGATTGCCCTCGTGGCCTAAAGATATTGGAGGCATTAGCAGCATCTGGAATTAGATCTGTTAGAATGGCTCTCGAAGTTTCAAATGTATCGAGTATTATTGCCAATGATCTTAGTCCAGAGGCTGTTGCTTTGATACAGAAGAATGTCACCCACAATAATGTGGGGAGTATTGTCAGTACAGTCTGCGGTGACGCTGTGGACCTTATGCACCAACATCGGTTACTTAAAGAAAGGTTTGTTTTTTTCTAGTCTGTTAATTCAGTTCACAAATAATCATCAACTGAGGTATCTCCATATGTCTAAATTCGGAAGATCATATAACAGCTAGATTTCTCTGCTCTGTGTATATGTATCCGAATCGTTGTCGAACAATGTTTATTATCGGAATTAATTTTGAGCATCCACGGGAAGCGTATCTTAAATATGGTCTTAATTAGTAAAAGCAAAACGCAATAAATGTGGTTGTATATTCAGTTAGGTATTTTTGTTTGTCTAGTTGTATATTGTTGTATATTTCCCACCCAAGAAATTTTTTATATTCCGCAATTACATAATATTGTTTCAAAAAGCAGCGGAATGAACTTTAGTGTTTGTTAGTATCAAGAAGTTCCTTAACATGTCTTATGTAGGTGGGATAAACAAAGGGAATATTTTGTCACTTACACAATAGATTATTGACACGTTTCTTACTCATTAACCAATTCCTTTCATACTGTCAATGTTATTGCTATTTCATATCCCCTGACTTCCATCTTGTCAAGTTTCGTCAACCTGATGCAGTGTTATAAATTAAGCTGATCGACATAGTCTTATGATATATTACCATTATCTGGTTGTGATTGCGATATCTTTCTTTTCTGTGCATAACATGACTTGGATGTATGAATTCGTTATTAAATTGTTGCCTCTTCCTAACGATTAAACCCATGTTACTAACATTTCACACCAGTAATCGAGAAGTTAGAGAATGCGTAAAAAACATGGTCAGGACTAATTATTTATTTATTTGAACATATAAATATTGGTACAAGAAAGCACCAGATATGCGCCACAAAAATGTCTGGGGGCTGTGATACTGCCAGGGTGCCCAGATCGAAACGGCTGGGTTTTTTTAGAGGGGCCACACCCTGAGCCTTTGATCTAAAGGTCTATTCCACAAGGCAGTGAAGCATTGTGAGGAGATGCGGTCGCATGGTAGCCGGTGACCAACGATTGATTCATACGCCACTTGTTCCCTCAGGATACTGGAGCCCATGTACACCATTGGTTTGGAATCAGGGTTTTCCAACTCCCCTAGGTGGACTTTCCGTGTCCGCCAACCCGGTTAAAGCGCCGAGCATTCGCTTTTCGTCCTCTCAATTTTGTAAACAACACCCGTGGTGCGAGAAGGTAATGAGTAGAACTTCCCCGGCAGAGGCTGAATACGCGTTACTGTTTTAAAGCATTCCGAGAAAGGGCGGGCCCTCCCCACTCTCGGCCGTACCAGGGCATTCAAGGGCGTCTGGACTTATCACCTGATACTAGTGAATGCTGAACGTAACTTTTCATAAGCTTTGACCATTATAAGTTTTCCACATTCGGAATGCGTATATGTACCTAGTCACCAAATTATATCCACTGTAACTCTACAAAGCTGTGCAATTATATGGGTAATGTTCATGTAATGATCTTCAATTAGTGGTCTCACTGTCGAAAAGTCTGATTCTGTTTCGTTTGTGTATCTCGTGTGATTCAACTTTTTCTGACTCCTGTTAGGTTTGATGTAGTCGATATCGACCCATTTGGAACAGCAAGTCCGTTTTTAAACACAGCTGTTCAGTGTTTACGTAATGGTGGACTTCTTTGTGTCACTTCAACAGATTTGGCTGTGTTGTGTGGGAGCACTCCTGGGACTTCGATGGGAAAGTATGGTGGGATGGCCATTAAAACAGGCTCTACACATGAAGTTGTAAGTTATGAATCCTTAGCCATAGTAAAATATTGACAAACTGATCTAGTAAAGCGTATAATGTCAAATTTTCCGAGTTCTGATTACTTTCACTTGAATCTATTTCTCGGTTATGGTTACCAGTGATGTATGCAACAAGTGGGAAGTCACATCCCAACGAATATTTCTGTCCTTCTCCAATGGCTCTATGTTTGATTCCATTTAAAGTGCACTACCATTAGACTTATTTTAGCAATAAACAGTGGAAGTATTTCCAGTTGTTTTTAGGAGTTATTCATTCAGAAAAATTCGGAAACTATATGTAGTAAGATTCCCAGAGTACATTCCAATAAACCCGACAGTCTCTTGATGGCACAAGCGTATGTGTTAGCATTTGATTAAGAATTTTCTCAGAAGGAGTTTTGTGAAGATTTTTTAGTAATTTTATAGTTGAATTTATGAGTCAATTGAAGCTAGACTACCATGAAAGACCTGGAAGTACTGGACGACCATTTCGTCACATTATGGGACTCCTCAGCAGCGCGCGTCCACGATCCCGCTTCTCGAGATTCAAACCCAGGACCTATCAGTCTCGCGCGCAAGCGCTAAGCCTCTAGACCAGTGAGCGGGCATCCAACGGTGTTAATGTCTAACTTCAACCAATCCACGAAATTGAGCAACCGTCCACCATTGTCTTCAGTGAGTTGGTATCTCACAACAGACCCGGTTGAACTCCATCGGTCACTGCTTCTCACTAGAACTCTAGCAAAAACCTCTTAAAGCCAGTCATTAGTGAGCATATGATTATTATCAGAAGGGGTTTTGTGGAGATTTTTAGTAATTTTATAGTTGAGTTCATGAGCTCGAATCTTGCGAGGCGGAATCGTGGATGCGCACTGCTTAGGAGTCCCACGGTAGGGCGGAACGGTCGTCCAGTGCTTCCAGGTTTTTCATGGTGGTCTAGCTTCAATTGACTCATGAATTCAACTGTAAAAATTTTCTGACATTTGGCTTATCAAAGAGGAGTATCAATAATTTCGTCTCACTAAGCCATAATTTACTATTTTCTAGAAAGGTCAGTGCCACCGTTTGAGTCGTACCTCACTATGCTCAAAAATTGTTCATTTAAACCGCAGACGATCTCACAGACAATCTACTTAGAATGACTTACAATAGGCTTTAAATCAGTCCTAACCGGTTAGATTGTGCAGCTAACTACTGTTTCCTCGAATATAAGTGTAGATGGAGACGCGTTACAGAGCTCCAAGGACTACAAGCTAATATTCTGTTGAATTCAGTAACTTTACCTAACTCGTGTACATATCTTCAAAACAACGAAACTAAGGTTTATATGCCATATTTTTGGCCGGCTAAGTGCAAAGATGTGGTGACTCTCAAAGGACCTATTAGGTTCTTGCATATTATCAGAGTGATCTAGTAACCAGGTTTCGTTCACTAGGCGGCCGATGAATATACATTTGATTCCCCATCGATTAATTTGGTAATAGTCAATCCGAAATGATGTTTTAGTTGAGTAATTACGATGTGAAAGTGTTGGGGAATAGTATTAAGACACCCAAAAATGTAAACTACATAGAATAAAAACCAACTACAAATCTATTTATTAATACCTGAAAATTACCATCCTGTTCACAGTTTTCTTCATTTGTACTAAAAAAAGAAAATTTTTAGCAACCATATACAAGTAAGGACTTTTGAAATTTTGAGCTGTGACTTTAAAACTGTCTTATCAGTTGAAATTGGTTTTGAAATAGTCGGCCACAAAGTTATGTCATTTTATTTATTTTGGAGTAACATCGTACTAAGTTTTGAACTACTAACTTTGTTTAAAGGTCTGTGGTTCTCCTCGGTCATACATACCGAGGTAGTTGCAGTGGAATCTAGACCTAAAACTTAATATTTCATCTATGCTATATATATAGTCGTTTTTCCAATAAATACGCAAACTGATGTTCTGAAAACACACAATTTAGGACACGTCTACGTTATGTTCTTCAAACTAATTCCTTTTTCCGGCAATACATATATTTCTCCTCCGTTTCCATTGTTTACGATTCCCCTAGAAGTCCTCAGAGGTCAAATACATCTAAAATATCTGTAACTTACTTCGACATATTTAGATGTCTAGGTTTCAGAATGTGATGGAAGTTATAATCAGTCTTAATTTACTCGTCTTTTGCACATCATAAAATTACCATTCCATTTCTTAGGATCTCCTTTTCTTAAAAATCGTCCATAAGTTTTATTCTAGGATTTTAGATGATTCAGGGTTTAACTTCTTCATTTTAAAACAAATTGTATCTCCATATTCACAAAACCAAGTTAAAAATGTTTCACTATAATAACCATGTTTAGTAATCGATATTACTTTTTTGGTTTAGGGATTACGAATACTTTTAAATGGTATGCAGTTGGCTGCTAGTCAGCATGGTAAAGTTATTGAACCTTTATTATCGTTGTCGGTGGATTTCTACATTCGTGTATTTGTACGTGTTTGGTCCAGTCCTATATCTGTAAAAGCTATTGCAGCTAAACATGGTATTTGCTATATTTGTCCTGGATGCTTAGTGAGTATTATTTTTACGACTATGAGTATTTCGTCTCGTTCAAATCTTGTTTTATTATTAATTGTTCAGTAGTTAAGAATCGTAATTTTGTTCCTTGGATTATCGGAAATATTTCAAATAATCTAAGATATTAAGATCAGCTGTGGATAGTCGAACATACGATAATGAAAGAAGCCTATTAATTCATTAAAAAGAATGAAGATATTTCGACAAAGAAAATTTCCTTTTGGAGGATGTCATCAACTAAAGCTACACAGTCCTATTTATGGTTGTTTTTTTACATTTAAGGGTTGTTGTAACTTAGAAGAAGGCCGTATCCAATTCGTTATGATTTTATGTCCGACTTTTTATCACGTGAATTATCCACCAGTCGAAATACGACTTTTCCAATCTTAACACTGTGCCAAATCAATGATGTTCAACTGGTGTGAGCAGTCTAGCGTCCTTATTGGTCCCTTGTCCATCTAGCCCTTCCACTTGAGTCCAAAACATCCATTAAAGCTTCTGCTATGCGAATCATTTATTTCAAGCATACCCGGTTTATATACCAGACAAACAGACCATATCACACCATAAAATAGAAAATACTATTTGTACAAGATCAAGCCAAATGTGGCTGTGAACGGCGGAGATAGTAATCAGTAAACTGAATATATTTTAGGGGCAGTAAATCGTATAATAATAATTCATAGGTCGAAATGAAGCTCATAGTAAGATGAATATAGATATACACAATCTAATTACTCATTAGTTAAACAATAAGAATATATGTAAGATAATCGTCCATTAATATGTCCCGGATGGTCTTCAGGTACTTTTCTTCATTTTGGTCAGCTTGTAAGTGTTTTGCAGCTCGTCCTTTTTGACGACGACGAATGCGTCATCCACATAACTAATCCAAATTTTGGATTAACAACGTCTTCGATGACACCAAGTTCACAATGGAACAGTAGTCAAACGACAAAATATCATTCTTGGACGTATTAATCACAAGAACCGACAAAGGAATACTGGAAACTGAAGTATATAAGAAGCCGACCCACATAGATCAAATTCTAAACTACCTTTCAAAAGAACGGATATCCAATCAAATTCATCAAAAACAAAGTCAAGTACAGAAATCAACAAACAGATCACCCTACCATACAAAAAAGCCATATCAGAAACTACAACGAGACTGCTGAAACCCTTCGGAATAGGTGCTGCACACAAACCTACAAAATCACTGCAATCAATCCTATGCAAACCAAAGGATGAAGTGATGAAAGAAAAACCAAACACCATATACAAAATAAACTATGCCAACTGCGAAAAACACTACATCGAACAAAGCGGACACCCTCTTCATCTTCGCCTGCATCAACATCAACTAGCAGTCAAATGCTATGACATGTCCTCACTTATAGCAATACACGTGGACAACTGTGGGCACATTGAACTGGAAAAATGTGGAAATTTCGGATAAGGGCAATTCCAAAAACACCAGAGAACTTTTAGAAGCTTGGCGCTCAGGTCAATGAGTAAGCACATTGAAATCGACCCAATTTATCAACCAATCAGGAAAATTATGGACAAACATAAGACCAAAAATCAAACCAATGGGAGCTGCAACCAAAACAAAGTAAGTCAACAAGAACCAATCAACATTGAGGTCTACAGGACATGCTGTGAACCACTTGTGGAGAAGTTCGAACACATCACTTCTACTTGAAGTTTGTGCTGATGGTGTCCTTCAGAAGAACGAGGAAAGCTCCACGACAAAACCGTCCAGCTCAGAGAACAAAACTCCATCAAGAACTATTAAATATTTCCTATCCTAAAAGCAATTACTTAATTTTGTTATCACGGTATTTCAAAGTTGGTCATTAATCTCCTCTGAATAAAAACCTATCATTAACGGAAATAAAAATGACAAACAGTTATTTGGTTTGTAAAGTATAATTTGCAGTATGTCAAATAATTTGTATATATTTTCATCCGGACAATGTACTGTACTTTTTTTACCTTTTATTGTTTCTAGGCCTATCACATACAACCTTTTGGAGAAGCAGTTAATACCAGTAAAGTAGTTACCGCAGCTCATGGCCCACCTATAGGACCTCAGTGTATAGAATGCGGTTCGAAATTTCATGTGTTTGGTCCTATTTGGATTGGACCTTTACATAGTCGTACATTCCTACATGAGTTTCTTTCAGATTTAGGCTACCCTCCCAAAAACCTTAATAACGGTACATCAAATTGTTTAAATGGTGAAAATCACTCATCTTCAACACAATTAGATACAAGTACGTTGGTATTGTGTTAGTTTTCCGTAGAAATTAGTGTTGTATTGCCAGTTTCGTCGAATGTTATTGATTTTAGAGTGATAAAATTGGCTATTACGTACCGGGGGATGATAAAAGGAAGGGACTTGGTTGGTTTCTTCGATAAAGCGAGACCAATCAAAGAGGCACAGAAGGTTTAAAAAGTGTCTCAAGATTGGTTTTGTGTGAACACAGTACCTAGCCAGTTTAGTTGGGGCGAAAACCAAACGTAAAATTGAATGACATAGATTTGAATGTTTAAGCCATTGATATCTTCCTATTTCTAGATTAAAATGACAGTATGAGTATTTTTCGAATTCAGTTATTCCGTGAAAAGGCGAAACGGTCCTTTAATCGTCTTTATTCTTAGTTAATTTGGCTAAATAGGTTAAAATTCTTTCATTCTGAAGTTTTTCTTCAAAACGATTCATGAAATGACAGAGTAGACTATTATTTGAACTGATGATATACTGGAAAGTCTAATGTTTATTAAACAAATAAAAAGTGTTATTTATTTATTTATTTGAACACGTAAATATTGGTACAACAAGGCACCAGATATATATGCGTCACACAAATCTCATTTGATTTGTGTGATGGCTGTGATACTGCCCAGGTGCCCAAACCGAAGCAGGTGGTTTTCCTAGGGGACCACACCCGGAGCCTTTGACGTAAAGGTCTAATCTACAAGGCAGTGGAGCATCGTGAGGAAATGCAGTCCCATGGTATCCGGTGACCGACGATTGGTTCATACGCCATTTGTTCCCTCAGGATACTTAGTCCATGTAAACCATTGGTTTGGAATCAGGGTTTTCCAACTCCCCTAGGTGAACATTCCGTGTCTACTAACCCGGTTAAAGCGCCGGACATTGGCTTTTCGTCCTCTCAATTTCGTAAACAACAGTAATGCCACTGTGAGAAGGCAGTGAATAGGACTTCCCTGGTAGAGGCTATATACGTGTGGCCATGTGAGAGCATTTGGAGAGGGAGAGCGGACTCTCCCCACTCTCAGCCGTGCCAGGGCATTTAGGGGTGTAGACAGATCGCTATTATCTCAACAGGTATTTTTCGTAGCAGAGACACTAGACTTTTGTTAATTAAGCGTTGAAAATAAAATAATTTAGTCCGAATAACATTTTGGAGAATAATATCCAGTGTATATTATTTATTCCAGTTGTTGGTGGATGTGGAGGATCCACCTAGGGGAGTTGGAAAACCCTGATTCCAAACCAATGGTGCACATGGGCTCCAGTATCCTGAAGGAACGAATGGCGTATGAATCAATCGTTGGTCACCTGCTACCATGGGACTGCATCTCCTTACGATGCTCCACTGCCTTGTGGACTAGACCTTTAGATGAAAGGCTCCGGGTGTGGCCCCCTAAGAAAACTACCTGCTTCAGTCTGGGCACCTGGACAGTATCACAGCCCTCACACAAATCAACGACAATTTCACACACATCTACAACTACGAATATGGCACAAACCAGCACTGATTGATTTCGTAGAGTGATGTCATTTTTTGCGCTGATCATCTCTAGTTTTATTCTAACGTTTACTTTAGCCAACATTACAGTTCAAAGTAGGTGGTTTAATGATTTGATTGACGCTTTCACCAAGTACTTGGGTACGAGCCACCCTCCAAGTATGAGGCCTAGTGGCGTTCAAACATGGGATTTAGTGGTTGTAAGCCAAATCCCTTAACCACTAAGCTACCACGTAATCAGGATCGATGTTCTACACTTGAAACCTACATAGTTTTCAAGAAGTTTTATTACGCTTGTTTGTTTGAATAACATTTTCTTCAGTGATAATTATTTGTTGTCATTCTCTAATAAATTTTTTTTATATTCTATCCATTCAGGTACTGGATCAGGTGAATCAACTCTAACAAATAAAAATTATGGCACATTTAAGCGTATCATCGGTATGGCTACTGTGGCATATGAAGAACTTCCAGATGTTCCTTTATATTACATAGCTGATCAATTAGCATCAGTTTTTGGTTGTACCATCCCTAAACAACCAGACTTATAGTAAGTGGGATTTTTTTTGTTTCAATTATTTGTTTGATTGATAAAACTTTCTTTACCAAGTAGTGTAGACATGTGTTTAAGAAAATATTTTCCTTCTAGCTTTGAAGGATAATTCTAATAGTCTCATTTTTTCCCCTCGCTTCACAATTGGATTGATTTCTATGTAGTGATTAATATCATGTCTATCTAGTCCCTTGTTTTTGTTAAATATAGCCTTCATTGGTCATAAATAAAATAAAATTCATTTTGGGGGAGTTCCTGAATGACAGCGGAAATCTTGAGGATTTCCTCAATTATTATTATTATTATTTGAACACATAAATATTGGTACAACGAGGCATCAGATATATATGCGCCACACAAATCTCATTTGATTTGTGTAAGGGCTGTGATACTGCCCAGGTGCCCAAACCGAAGCAGGTGGTTTTCCTAGGGGACCACACCCGGAGCCTTTGACGTAAAGGTCTAATCCACAAGGCAGTGGAGCATCGTGAGGTGATGCAGTCTCATGGTAGCCGGTGACCAACGATTGATTCATACGCCACTTGTTCCCTCAGGATACTGGAGCCCATGTGCACCATTGGTTTGGAATCAGGGTTTTCCAACTCCCTTAGGTGAACTTTCCGTGTCTACCAACCCGGTTAAAGCGCTTCATATTAAGTGAATCAGTACAGATGGAAATGTACTGATGATCAATGAACAGTTTAATGAATGAATCGTAGGATTGATTTCTTCCTAAATGTTATATTAAGTGATTTAGCATCTCCAGCAAATTTTCAAGAAGTCGGTTAAAGCCCTCAGGAAGAATGTTAAAGCCATTAGAAATCCTTTCTTTCATGTAACCCGTTAGAATTTCCATAAACTTTGTTAGTATGGAACAAGAATAAGGGTTGGTCAATCTTCGCGTCACTCAGAGAGAACGGTAACAAAGTGATATCAAATTGATCATAACACCTGGGTTGCTATTTTCTATAATTTTGATGTAATTAGCGATCTAACTCATCTACTAGTATACGCTACCGACACTCAGTTAAAATAATTATGTGGAAAGAAGACAAATAACCTCGCTAAACTGTAATACTGAATAATTACAACTTATGCAAATATCTATGGGTAAATAAAAACTACCCGAGAGCGTTGAGATTCTATGATCAATTTAATTATTCACTATCGCTCAATCTGACATCAACACCTTGATCGATTTATGGTATAGCCTTGACTCGATGTCTGACTTTGAATCTTCTCATTTTGTTAAGAATTACCAAACACTTCTAATGTCATCATAAATAAGTTGCAGTTTTATATAGATTCTTATTTAAATTTCGAGTATAATTCTGATGTTTTTCAAAGGACAATTAATCGTTAGTTAAATCATAGACCTGATTAGGTGAAAACTGCTATCACGTAAGCAATGTGCATTTGTTACATAGTCGGATAGCGTACACCTCATTTTCAGCTACCACTTACACAAATTATTTAAAACACTTAACTGATATCGTAACTTTTTCTGCTCATTAGTTCTTGTCTTCTGAATGCCAACTACCGTGTTTCTTGCTCGCATGCTGATAAAAATTCTCTGAAAACAGATGCTCCGCATTCATTTGTACTCGACTGTTTTCGGTCTCATTGTGATAGGATAAAACATAAAATAGAAAAACCTGACCTTGAGTCAAATGATGAAGGAAGTTCCGAAACGGAAATAAATGCAGCATCAAAGGTCAGTGTTCGAAGCAGAAGACGCTCCAGGAGAAAGCAGCATGCTGATGGTAACTTGGAAATCTCATCGGACATGGAAGAGACAAATATTGAGTCGAATAGTAATGTTTCGCACAGTCAAACAGTACGTATCAGATTAAGAACCAGACCAATTAATCCATCAGTATCTTTCACTCGTCATCCACTTGCTGAACCTCCATCGAAAAATGATGGTCTAGTTAGGTAAGTGAAGTACCTTTTTTAAAATCTGTCAATACTGAATAGTTGCTAGTTTCGTATGAAGTAAACGTACCCGACGGTAGATAGGAACAAGTAATTAAAAATGAACAAGTAGTTCGGGTATTCGGAACTTAATTAGTTGTAATTGATACGAAATTCGTTAACATGTTGTGAGAATCAGAGGAGTTCTCAATAAAAGTGATTCTGAAATTATAAAATAATCGACTTGTCAAATGCGAAACCGAAAAAAAGTTTGGTTCTTTGTAGTGAATAAGACTGAAATCTATGGTGAGCATCTTTGTTTTAAGATATTTATCTTTATCACTGCTCCTATTAATTTTACATTGGAGAACTGAAACTAATACTCGCCTACTTGATTCAAGTCAGTCATAAACAACGTACAACTTTAGATGAATAAGTATCCCATCCGAATAGATACATGAAATCAATATAGCTAGAAGAATTTAACATAATGAAGGACAAAGTAATCATGTCAATATCTATTTCTCTAAAAAGGTAAACGTAGTTAATATAGTCCACAAATCAATGAAATACAAAGGTTATGAGAAATCCAGAAACTTAGGATCTAGGGTTAGACAAAAAGTGGATGTACCCGCGCCATTGCAAACGACTTTCAACCATATAGTTCAAGATCTTTAATCATTAGGTACGATAATCTCGCGAACCCCAACCAATTAGTCTACATCTGGAAATATCGCTCTGTTCACTTACCAATGACTTCTTTATAGACTGGTTCTACGTATTGGTTTGGCTACCTTTAGCTTTCTTCCTACCTACTCCTGCGCCAGACAACATCGATCATCGAGGTAAGCGATGAGTGGGCATACGTAACACTCGCCCCAAACTCAGTTGATGATTTGTTACTTAATCTATCAATTTGTCATCTTTACCTAGTACTCTCCCGACCGTTGCTGCTACCTTGACGTGGTGGTCGGGCTTGCCTATCGTGATGATCCAATCGAGCTATGCTGGCTGGAACAATCGTTCCTCAAGGTCCTACCATGCCAGACAGGTCGGTTGAAGAGCGGTGAGACTAAAAGCAGCAATCCCAAGGTCCGAAGGCGAAGTCGTACTGCTGACTGTACAGAGGTGTGAAAGCAGTAAGGTGTTTCCTTCAGACAACCAGCATGACAGCGATGCTGCCTTCCCAAAAGGAGGGGTGGGGTTAGAAAAGGTCGACCCTAAAAATGCACACCTCGCCTTATCCCACGGATTTCCGTCTCCGGCGGTAAGGACTTTTGAAGAACGGAGCTAACACGTCAAAAATCCCCCACAAAAAGGCCGTGCGTGACCGGCCTCAAGCAGATGTCCCTTGGGCACTGCGGTCACGCTCCCAGGTCGTTAAGACCAACACTAATCCAACTTCTTTTTCAGGTCCCTCAAGAAATACCCTTCCACGGTGTGGGCAGCCGGGAAGTGATACTAGCCCTCATACCCTTAACTGCACACAAGACCAAGTTGGTCGCTTTCAAATCCTTCCTACACCTAATAACTCTGTTATCTCCTCGACTAACCCTTCCCACGTCCTTTTATCGCGTCGCATCGCTAGGGCAAACGATTCGAGTACACAGAACGTTATTCCTGGTCTCCTGAAACCACGCTCTAAACTACATATAGGAACTTTTAATGTCCGAACATTGTGCCAAATAGGACAACAGGCTTCCTTAGCTAGGACTCTAGAATCTTACACCATCGATGTGTGCTGCGTCTCCGAAACGCGCATACAAGATCCGAGTAGTGTCATTCATTTGACCGCACCTAATCAAAATAAAGTTTCATCTCGATACACGCTCCGTGTATCTGGAAGCCCTGACGCTGCTTCCCGTGGCCTCGCTGGAGTAGGTATAGCACTAAGTCCTAGGGCAGAACTAGCTCTTTTAGACTGGATCCCAGTAGACAGTCGTCTATGCGCTGTTCGACTAAACGGATCAGTAAGGACTCGGAAAGATAGGGAAACTCGTCGTTGCCTCTTCGTCGTCTCTGCCTACTCTCCCACAGACTGCAGCTCAGACGATATAAAAGATGAGTTCTACAGGAAACTTTCTGACCTTCTCCGAGAAGCTAGGCGTTCTGATGTAGTAATAGTAGCAGGTGACTTTAATGCTCAAGTAGGTAAACTAAGTGAAAGGGAAGGACACCTGGGTGGATCTTATGGTGTCATGGCGAAAAGAACAGATAATGGCGACCGTCTGTTGCAGCTATGCTCAGATAACCGCCTATTTCTTGCAAATACTAACTTTAAGCATAAGGAAAAACATCTTTTGACCTGGCGACCCCCGAATTCGTCCCAACGTTGGACCCAATTAGATCACATCGCTATCAGCCACCGATGGAGGGGCTCGATAGAAGACTGTCGCTCATTCTGGGGCACATGCTTAGATTCAGATCATGCTCTAGTGCGAGCACATATTTGTCTGCGTCTTACTGGACGTAGGAAAGACACTGCAGGGAAGCCTCTAAGGGTTCTACTTAATGATAGGCAAGCTAAGAATATATTTCAGGAACAACTAGAAAAACAGTTAGGCAGCCATGTAAGTTGTGTCCACCCCGAGGCCATGTGGAATGACATCCGAAAAGCTGTGGAATCAGCAGTGATATCCGCTAATAAGGTAAACCATAACGTTAGGGAGAAACAATGGATCTCGGCAGCATCTACCGCATTGATAGATGCTCGTAAACTCATCCCACCTGGCTCTGAGCATAACGAAGAGCGGAGTCAACTTAATCGCAGGCTTATAAGAAGTCTACGTAATGATCGTGAACAGTGGTGGGTAGCGAAAGCAAGAGAGATGGAAAAGGCAGCGGCAATAGGTAACAGTAGGCAGCTATTCAGACTCGTTAAAGAAACCGGTATTAGGAACCCGAATATCAGTGAAACCATCTCAGATAAAGATGGGCATATTATTCATTCTCAATCCAGGAGGTTGGATCGATGGGCAGAACACTTTAGGGATCAGTTCAACTGGCCTTCAGCCACACTTCAATTACCCACGATCCCCAGTCGTCCTGAATGGCAAATTGATGTAAGTCCTCCAACCCTCTGTGAGGTTGAAAAAGCTATAGGAAATCTGAAGCGAGGGAGAGCAGCAGGCCCTGACAGGTTGTCCCCTGAGATTTTTAAGGATGGTGGTCCAGTACTAGCAGTGAGATTGACTGAGGTCTTAGGTAGAATCTGGGAACTGGACGTAATTCCATCTGACTGGTCCCAATCACTGATTGTGCCAGTCTATAAGAAAGGACAAAAGTCCTCTTGTGACAATCACAGAGGGATCAGTTTGACTAATATAGTGTCTAAAATATTAGCTTCAATAATACTAGGTCGCCTAACCAAAGCTCGTGAAGAGCAGACTAGAGAAAACCAAGCTGGTTTTCGACCTGGACGTGGTTGCATAGACCAGATATTCACCCTACGTCAGGTTCTAGAACATAGACACAAATTCAGACGTCCCACAATAGTAGTATTTCTTGACCTTAAGGCGGCATTTGACTCTGTTGATCGTGAGGTTCTATGGCAATGTTTGTCACTGAAAGGAGTACCAAAGAAGTACATTAACCTCATAAAGGCTCTCTACTCGAGCACAACTGGTCGAGTTAGAGCCTATGGCGAACTGTCATCAGAACTGATTACCACAAGTGGCGTTCGTCAGGGCTGTCCACTCTCCCCATTCTTGTTTAACTTTGTCATTGACTTACTTTTAGAGATAGCACTTTCATCAGCTAAGCCTCCAGGAGTTGAACTTTTACCAGGAGGCTCACTTGTTGACTTAGAATACGCCGACGACATAGTTTTACTCGGTGAAGACGCTGACAACATGCAGAGTCTTCTGACCACTATAAGCAACAATGCAGGCATGTTCGGGATGCGATTCTCTCCCTCGAAGTGCAAAATGTTACTTCAGGATTGGGTTGTATCGGCACCTGAACTAATGATAGGGAGTGAAGTAGTTGAGCGTGTAGACCACTTCACTTATCTTGGGAGTCTCATCAGCCCTTGTGGTCTGGTATGTGACGAAATCTCAGCACGGATACAGAAGGCTCGTCTAGCTTTCGCCAACTTGCGTCATTTATGGCGTAGGCGAGATATCCGTCTAGCAACCAAAGGACGGGTTTACTGTGCAGCAGTTCGCTCCGTTCTACTCTATGGCAGTGAAACATGGCCAATAAGAGTAGAGGATATTCGTAGGCTACTAGTGTTCGATCATAGGTGTCTTCGAAGCATTGCTCGTATATCCTGGGACCACCGGGTAAGTAATGCAGTTGTTAGGAAACGAGTACTAGGTAGGGATGGCAAATCGATTGATGAAGTAGTGAAACTTCATCAGTTGAGATGGCTGGGACATGTGTTACGTATGCCCGACCACCGACTGCTGCGACGTGCAATGTTTCATGGTGTAGGAGTAGGTTGGAAGAAAGCTAGGGGTGGCCAGACCAAAACGTGGCACAAATCAATGAAGTCACTGACAAGTGGACTGGGCCATGTTGGTAGGTGTAGACTACCTGGTTGGGATTCGCGAGATGACAGCAACCGATGGTTAGAGACCTTGAATGACATGGCTCAAAATCGTTTGCAATGGCGAAGATGCATCCACTGTTTGTGTTCTACCAAATTCTAATCTTCTGAATTCCTCATGTCTTTATCTTTTTCTCTTTCCAAATTTATTTCACTGTACTATACTCCTTCAATAATTTCTTCAAACCCCTAATCTTTTGGATTTCTGATTATACTCCTACTACTTCTACCACTATGGGATTTGAATCGACAACTGCATCTGTGTGCTAATGTGGTATGGCAACTCGAACTGATGTACATACGTACGAAGTTCTACGTTGTGACTGACTGACTGACCTAGTACTCTATCTCCAATAATGACACTCTCTTAGTACGTATCACCAGGACGTCAAACAAACTCGGTGGTACCGAAATGGACGAGCGATGCTTCAAAGATACCTATAATCGAATATTGGTCCTGAAAAACACCACTTGATGTTGAAAATCCTAATGACGGTTCATATTAAGCTTTGACTCACCCAGCACTTTACGATTGGAGAGCCTGTACAAATTTGATGTACTTCCTTGGTACGACTTTCGATGACAGACACTCCCACATAGCCTAGCAACCAAACTAGTCAAAAGGTAGAACGAATGAACTAATGCTAAAAGCTAGTAAGGTTGAAAGGACTAAAGGAATGTATAAAGCAGTTAAAAATAGGGTCACACTCAAATATAAAATGGAAACAGTATTAGGTTGAAGTCAAAGCTAAACAAAAACTTGTGTGGATTGTGGACTTTAACTAATGGGTAGTTAACACTTCTCTTGTCTGATTAAGTTAAAATTGAACCAATCTCGAAAAATTATGACAAACTATGTAGGAAAAGAAACTCGTTTGCTAACTACATGTTTGTGCACTCAGCTATGAGCTAGTAATATTACTGGGCTTCGGTGGTGTTTATATACAACTGTGATTCCTTGGTACACTATTTCCCGGCTAATTCAAATGCCAAAAACAGTACGTTCAGTTGTGCTCATCAAGTCCTACCTGTCTTAAATCGAACTATTCTGGGAATTCTTGGAACAACGATCCGATTACTTTTAATTGTCTTAGCTGCCTAAACTGAAATAACAGAAACAAGACTCAAACTGCCGACCTGGTAATTAGAAATCGATCTCCTGAATCATTAAGCCACCACTTCATAATTCTATGAAACACCCTAAATCTAGAATACAAATTTATTTAGGGACTGAACTTTTGAGAGCTGTCATCGTAAATTCTTACTGAAATGTACTCTTATATACAGATTGAAAGCAAATTTTGGTTAACATCAATATATCTGGTCTCACTGAGATAGGTAAATTAGTAGAGACGTCCTAAAAGTGTTTAACCCCCAAATGCCCTGGTACGGCCGAGAGTGGGGAGAGTCTGCTCTCCCTCTCGAAATGCTCTCATATGGCCACGCGAATATATAGCCTCTGCCAGGGAAGTCCTAGTCACTGCCTTCTCGTGGCGGGGGTGTTGTTCACAAAAGTGAGAGGACGAAAAACGAATGTCCGGCGCTTTAACCGGGTTGGTGGATGTTGAGGATCCACCTAGGGGAGTTGGAAAACCCTGATTCCAAACCAATGGTGCACATGGACTGGCTCCAGTATCTCGGGGGAACAAATGGCGTATGAACCAATCGTTCGTGACCGACTACTATGGGACTGCATCTCCTTACGATGCTCCACTGCCTTGTGGATCAGATCTTTAGGTCAAAGGCTCCGGGTGTGGCCCCCTAGGAAAACCACTTGCTTCAGTCTGGGCAGTATCACAGCCCTCACACAAATCGAATGAGATTTGTGAGGCGCATATTTATCTGGTGCCCCTTTGTACCAATATTTATGTGTTTAAATAAATAAATACTTGTTCCAAATTGATAAAAATCACCAGTTTTTTTTAAATATGATACTAAAAGTATTTCATTCCAACCTTTTTTCTTGACAGATATCAAATAAATCCTGAGAAATATTGGGGTCCAAAGTCGAGACCGAAAATGAAGAAAACATCACCTTGAATAACAACAGCATGTCAATCACGAATTTCACATAAATCCCTCACATATTATATTTTGTGAATGTATATATTTTCAAATACAAGCATATGAATAAATCCTTCAACTTGAATTTGCCCCTTGTATAATATATACCTGTAAATAGGAAGCTTAAAGCTCAGGAAACATTCCAAGATTAGAAATTTACATTGCAATTTCCGAATTACGAACCCTATATCAAGTGAGCTAACAACTTCTACTTGTTGATATCGTAGAATCTCATACATTGATGTACCCTGTTTAAAATGCAAACGTGACCATTCACTTGATCGATCTTAGAGACTATCTCTATTCAGGAGAAGCTATAGATGATATCCATATGGCTTCAAATACCGCACTTATATCTGCCACCAACTTTAATTTGATCGGAAGGTTAAGAAGAAACCATTGGGTTTCGAAAGCTGTAATCGCATTAATAGTTACTCAAAAACGGATTCTGACAGGCTCGCAGACAAGGTATTTACGCAATGATGGTGAACAGTGGTGGTCAACGGAAGAGATAGAAAATGAAGCAGGAATTGGTAAAACTTGAAAATTATTTCTACTCATCAACCAGGTGTTAAAAGACCGGCCGTCAGTGAGACCGATTAAGTATTCACCCTTCGCCTGGTTCCAGGACATAGACATACCGACAATCGACTCCGTTGGTCGGGACGATTTCTGCCAACTTTTTTCATTGGCGGTTCTCTACTTAAACGTCATTGGTCGAGTCAGAGCTTATGTTTGTCAGGGTTGCTCACCATCGTCCGGTTTTATCCAACTTTGTCACTGATGTCCTCCTAAGAAACTACACTCACTTAACTTTCCAAAGACTAATCTAGGAAGATGTGCACTTATCGACTTCAAATACGTATACGACATGGTCGTATTTAAAGACACCGATTAAGGGCCGAGCCTTCTGATGACCTTAAATCAAAATACAAGCACGACCTGAATGTCCCTCTCCTTTTAGATGCAAAATATTGCTTCGGAAATAGTCTGCACTACTGTCTAGATCAATCATAGGGGGTGAAGCACGTGACCACTTTATTTATTTTGAAGGTCTGATCAGCTCTGATGGGTTGGTGTCTGACGAGACCTCGGATTTTACCAATTCCAGTTACCTCTGAGGTAAGGCATTCGTCTGTCGACCGAACGGCGGGTATACCGAGTAGAACTTCACTCTTTATTACTCTATGTTTGAGAAACGTGATTCATGATAACAGAAGACATGAGTAGGCTACAAGTTTTTGATTGTGTCCTCGAAGCATTGGTCACGGATGACGACAGTATAGAATAAACAGTCTCGAGTTAAGATGTACGGTGGCGAATCCATTGAAGCAGTGAGTCTTCATTGACTAACGTGATTAAGACACGCATTATGTATGCCCAACCACCCCCTACCCGGTATAGGAGTAGGTTGGTGTAAAGCTAGTAGCGACCAAGCGGAAAACATAACATCAGTCAATAAAGTCATCGATTATTGGTCTAACATATGTTGGTAAGTGTAGTCTGCCTGGTTAGAGTCCTCGCGACAAATAAATGAAGACGTTGGGTGATGTGGCTCACAATCAGCAAAACATTTCAGGAATTTTATTGTTATTATTAGCTCAAACATTATTCTATTTACACTGTACAATGTAAACATGGATTTCCTTTTATGCGTTTCACTATACATTGACTGAGGAGACTGATCTTGTTGGGTGGTGCGTTCTGAAATGAGAAAAACGTAAATACAAGATATAGACAGTGTATATTTAAATAATGATGCTGAAATAGTTTTTGGATATAAAGTAGTCTTTCAGTAAATAATGTAAATGTTTTTCATATTTAGTTTTTAATAATTCCTACTAAAGATTTATGCTCCAATCTAAGCTGAGAAATGAACGTAGGAATCACACATCTGACGTTGCTATATAACTTGCCATTGAAAATAATAAATAACTAAATAGAGATCAAATGAACCAATAGCACAAGATTCTAGTTTTAGAGGTAAACAGTGAACCGACTAACATGGTCTACCCGAAAATTACAGTACTTATAAAAGATATTCCACATTGACTGATCCTTAACTCTCGAAGTAAATTAGATATTAAATAAAGATGAACATTTTAAACCTGAATGAATAACTTCCTACTAAAATACGAGGTATACTGTAAGTGTACCATAATGAAAGGATTGGCTATACCAGTCAGTCAGCTACAACGTAGGACCAGATGCATATATACATCCGTCTAAGTTGCCATACCTCATTAGCACAACAAGATGAACACCAAATTTATAGAAGTTAATTTAATGGTGGTAGTATATAAAAGATAGGTTGTATTTAAGGATATAGTACTGGAAGGAAGAAAGATATGATGCAATTTTAATCTTACGGTTTAAGGAAAGATAAAGAGTGTATACACCTACGTCATTGTGATCGATTCTGAGCTATGTCACACAGACTCCAACTATTGGTTACGATAGTCACGCGGATCGCAACCAAGTAGTCTGCATCTACCAACATGGCTCAGACTAGAAGTTAGTGACTTCGAGCACTGATGCCACGTTTCGGGTTGGCCGCCCCTAACTCTCTTCCAAGCATCCCCAATACTAATCAGCATCACGGACTGGTTATACGATGGATAAAGTATAGCCTAACCTTACAAAGAGAATTTCAAGGCTGAGTTGCTATATTAGGAAACTATAGTTCAACATAACAAATAAACTAGTATCGGAAAAAGTAAATAAAAAAACTTATCTTTAAACTTACATTACAGATGTACATAAGTAAAGTTTAATCAAGTTGATCACAGTGATTTGTCTTGAAATGTTCATTTAAACTATACAAACTGATTTTTTATTAACCTTTACACAATCCTCTAATTTCCTATAATTAGTAATAACTTTACAAAATGAAAGAACAACTAACCAATGTTTGTCTTTAATCCACCCCAAGTTATCAGCAATTAGATGTAGACTCTGGCACCCATCGCAACGAATTATAACTATACCTTTTTCATAAGCCAACTTGGAAAAATATTTACTTGACCGAGTAGCGCACTTCTAAAGAGAAAGGATTTCCCGATAAAAATATTATGCGTCCAATTACCTTGCATGTGAATTCAATGTACATCTTTCCTTTAATTTCGTTTTGATCATCTGACAATTCAGAGTTATCTGATGTGGTAGCAACTGGCAATGTTGACTGTAGGTTAGTTACAGTATCTGAACAAAATTTCTTTCTAGGCTGGATTGTGTTCAAACTCAGAAGGACTCTGCGAGTAATTGGCGGAAAACTATACAGACATCTACTAGGACAGTTTGAGAATTTCCAAAGAAAACTAGACGTGTAAAAACGATATAATTGTGTGGAGAGTGATTTTAATTGCATTTGTGGAAACAACAGTTTGCAGTTACGTAAAGGGAAAATTATCACACTTTTTAGTTAGAACGTCAGTGCATACAGGAAGCTAAAGGAAAAGAAAACGATTGAATGATTACATAGTTATTTAAAAAAAGTAGGCTACACATTTCCAGGCTTTCTCAATGGACTTTTACCACAAACCAGCTATAAAACAGGTAAAAGGTATTTATTTCTTTTTAATCACTGAGTGCATTAACATCACGGTTCTTATCGTCATGTATCACTGAAAAGGAACTTGCTAAACTGACATCGCGACGCGAGGGTATTTCCACAATCAGTGGATGAAAACAGAACATGTAAGTGATAATTTAAAATAACGACCTTCCACTGTTGTTTTGCGGGTGCGGTGTTCAGTATTAACGAATATTACCATCTCACTTTATGTCGGCAGTTGTTTAAAGAACTATGGCAGTTAGATATCACTGTAAATATTTGTATTCAGTAAGTTTTAGAATTTATAGGAGGGCCATCTAGATTCAGAATAGTTGCACCGAGGTTTAAGAACACTCTTAATGGAACGTGCAATACCTATAATTCCTTTTAAAGATCTACGTAAAGGACTGTAGAACTTTGCATATACAATGAAAATACGTAACAAACGCTGCTCGAGCATGTCTGTTATTCATTTCCATTTAATTACATGGAACCACCATAGTTTAAAATATGGTGATTCATATTAACAAATGACCTTAGTTATGTGGCTTTTTAGTGAAGTCAACAGTAAATGATATGTGTCTTAAGGTCTGTTTTGTAATGGAAATGAGGGTAAACATGGGCGAAAAGTCGAATGTTTGCAGATATTTTAAAGATAAAGCTACAAAAAGATGTATTTTCGCGTTATTAACACACAATAGACAGAAGAGACTTATCGGCATTTTTATCATCTACCCCTTATTCCTTTTTCTCGGTTCCTTGGGTTAATTATGTAGTACCGTGTATCCATGTTCTGTTTTCATTTGGTCTTTACAACCACTTCCTACATTCCCTGATAACTTGTTTATAGATGGCTCTATATCATCTCAGCATTTTAAAAGTCTCTTATCCTGACTTATAAATGTGCACAATTGTCTACTCACAACTAACCCCTGTCTGTGGCGCACTTTTTATAGGAAGCGCCGAAAGTCTTTCAGTCCTTTTTTACCGTGCCCAGTAGTAAGGAAAATAGGTTTATTGACCTATATAATTATTTGCAGTTTGTAATACTGTGAAGCTCCAATCTAGTTTGAATATGTCAGCAGAAGGTACTGATGTTGCGTATTCCTGTCGAGGATTTCAGTAACTCACTACTCGGTGAGAGAAACGAAACTCTAGACGTAAACGTTTTGATCTCGGTTTTTGAAATTTCTTAGAATTCCCTCTCAAATGATCAGTCTTAGATGGAAGGAAAGGATACGACATGTTAGTACCAAGAATACGATAAGCTCATATTAGATCACACCGTATTCTACGGTAAGATAATGGAAAAAAGTTGAGGTGTCTCAGTATGTCTTCATAAGATAGGCAAAATAGACCTTTTACCAATTTGGTCCCCCGGCGTTGGACTTGTTCCAGTATATCCGCCTCACATTTCAAACAAGGACTAGCTGCATGAATTCCGTAATCCAAATGTGACCTGTTAAAAGTCGGGCATAACACTCTAAATATTTCTTCCTTTAAGTATTGAAAAGACCTACGAATAGCCCGTAATACCTTAAAATCTTTGGCATTAGAAGCCTTGCATTTGCTCGTAGTTTTGAGGTCGCTGCTTATTATGACTTCTAAATTTTTATAGTCCATTATTTTGGGTAACACAACTCCACCGGTCCCAAGCCCGGGTAAAGGAGGAGGGTTGGGCATGGGGTTAGCGACCCCATCCCGTAGAAAAGCTAACTCGCTAAAAAAACGCTAACCAGAAAAAATAATTCAAACCATTTAAACTCTGATCTGGGAGTTGAAGGAATAATGACGTCTCATGATGAAAGCCGAAATTCTTCGAAAGTCACCAGACCGATGCACCTTCTAACAACCAGAGCAACACTCTTTATAGGTACATGGAACGTCCGGACAATGTGGGAGACAGGAAAGACCAGCCAAATAGCAATGGAAATGAGGAGATACAACTTGGCAGTACTCGGAATCAGCGAAACCCATTGGACACAAACTGGACAACAAAGGCTAGGTACAGGAGAGATGCTGCTGTACTCCGGTCACGAAGGGGAAAATGCTCCACACACTCAGGGAGTTGCTCTAATGCTGTCCAAAGAAGCAAGAAATGCACTTGTGGGATGGGAAACTCATGGACCCAGGATAATCAAAGCATCATTCAGAACAAAGAAGCAAGGGATCACAATGAACGTTATCCAATTTTATGCACCCACCAATGATAGCAACGACGATGATAAAGATCAGTTCTATGAAAGGCTGCAATCAATTATAGCAAAGTGCTCACGAAAGGACCTCACCATCCTGATGGGAGATCTAAATGCTAAAGTTGGAGTGGACAACACAGGATATGAAGATGTAATTGGACGACATGGACTAGGAGAGAGAAATGAAAATGGGGAGAGACTTGCAAACCTATGTGCATTCAACAAATTGGTTATAGGCGGCACAATATTCCCACACAAACGCATACACAAAGCTACATGGATCTCACCGGACCACACCACAGAGAACCAGATTGATCACATCTGTATCAACAAAAAATTCCGAAGATCAATGGAAGATGTAAGAACCCGGAGAGGAGCTGACATAGCTTCAGATCACCACTGGCTGGTTGTGGCCAAGATGAGACTGAAGCTTAAGAGAGACTGGACAACTGGACAAACAGCACTACAAAGGTTTAATACAGCCTTCCTTCAAGATGCTGACAAGCTCCAAGAATTCAAGATAACTCTCAACAACAGGTTCCAAGCTCTACAGGATCTACTGAAAGAACAAGAAACTACTTTGGAGGACAACTGGAAAGGGATAAAAGAAGCACTAACTTCAATGTGTCAGGAGGTTCTTGGTCCTAAGAAGCATCATCACAAGGAATGGATCTCTATGGGAACCCTGGACAAAATTCAAGAAAGGAAGAACAAAAGACTAGCAATTAACAACAGCCGAACACGAGCAGAGAAAGTCAAAGCACAAGCAGACTACGCAGAAGCAGATGGAGAAGTGAAGAGGTGCATTAAAGCCGACAAGCAGAAATACATGGGAGAACTAGCAACGGCGGCGGAAAAAGCTGCAAGAGAAGGGAATATGAAACAACTATATGATACAACGAAAAAATTGGCAGGGAGATATGGCAAACCAGAGAGACCAGTCAAGGACAAAGAAGGAAAGACAATCACTGAGATTCAAGAACATAGGAAAAGATGGGCAGAATAACTCGAGGAACTGCTGAATAGACCAGCCCCATTGAATCCACCGAACATCGAAGCAGCCCACACAGACCTTCCAATAGATGTCACTCCACCAACGATCGAAGAAGTCAAGTTGGCCATCAGACAAATCAAAAGTGGGAAGGCGGCAGGACCTGACAATATACCAGCAGAAGCACTGAAGTCAGACATTGAAATAACTGCAAATATGCTTCACCTTCTATTCAAAAAGATTTGGGAAGAGGAACAAGTGCCAACGGACTGGAAAGAAGGATATCTCATCAAGATACCAAAGAAAGGAGATCTGAGCAAATGCGAGAACTACAGAGGTATCAGTTTGTTATCAGTACCAGGAAAAGTTTTCAACAGAGTGCTGCTGAATCGGATGAAAGACGCAGTAGACGCCGAACTTAGGGATCATCAGGCTGGATTCCGTAAGGATCGGTCGTGCACAGACCAGATTGCGACACTACGGATCATCGTTGAACAATCGGTTGAGTGGAACTCATCACTATACGTCAACTTCATCGACTATGAGAAGGCGTTTGACAGCGTGGATAGGAGAACATTATGGAAACTTCTTCGACACTATGGAGTTCCTCAGAAGATCGTCAACATTATCCAAAACTCATACGATGGATTACAGTACAAAGTGGTGCATGGAGGACAGCTGACAGATGCATTTCCAGTAAGGACCGGAGTCAGACAAGGCTGTCTACTCTCCCCATTCCTCTTCCTTCTAGTGATTGACTGGATTATGAAGAATTCGACATCTGAAGGGAAATACGGAATACAATGGACAGCTCAGAATCAATTAGATGATTTGGACTTCGCAGATGACCTAGCCCTCCTCTCTCATACACACGACCAAATGCAGATGAAGACAGCAAATGTAGCAGCAGCCTCCGCATCGATAGGTCTAAACATTCACAAAGGAAACAGCAAGATTCTCAAATGCAACACGGAGAACACAGACCCAATCACACTTGATGGCGAAACTCTGGAAGAGGTGGAAACATTCAAGTACCTGGGAAGCATCGTTGATAAACAAGGAGGATCGGATGCAGATGTAAAGGCGAGGATTGGCAAAGCAAGGGCAACATTTCTACAATTGAAGAACATATGGAACTCAAAACAACTCTCAACCAATTTCAAGGTCAGAATCTTCAATACGAACGTCAAGACAGTCCTACTGTATGGAGCTGAAACGTGGAGAACTACTACGGCCATCATCAGGAAGGTACAAGTATTTATAAACAGTTGTCTACGCAAAATACTCAACATCCACTGGCCGGATACTATCAGCAACAGCGTTTTATGGGAGAGGACAAACCAGCAGGTTCCAGCTGAAGAGGAAATTAGGAAAAGACGTTGGAAGTGGATCGGACATACATTAAGAAAATCACCAATGTGCATCACGACTCAATCCCTAACTTGGAATCCGGAAGAGAAGCGGAAAAGAGGAAGGCCAAAGAACACACTACGCCGGGAAATAGAAGCCGATATGAAAAGGCTGAATAGTAACTGGAAAGAACTGGAAAGGAAGGCTCAGGACAGAGTTGGATGGAGAATGCTGTTGAGCGGCCTATGCTCCTCGACGAGGGGTAACAGGAGTAAGTA